CCAACAGTGACTTATAGAGAGAGAGAGGGTTCCAAAAACATGACTTTGAAGGATCACCGACACAAGCAATGCCATTTTCTCCTTCTTCTTGTAATGATCACTATCTCCTCCGCAACGTTAACCGGTGGTTTGCCGGAGACAGACGTCGGAGGATTTGATTACGGTGAAGCATTGTCTAAAAGCTTACTTTACTTCGAAGCTCAGAGATCAGGTCGGCTTCCGTATAACCAGAGAGTCACGTGGCGTGATCACTCTGGTCTCACCGACGGTCTTGAACAAGGGGTTAGTGGTTTCTGTTACAAACTCAAAAACATTATTTTTTTAGAATGTTTTTTTTTTTCCAAAATTCAAACTAAATTGTACTTTAACATCATTAGTTTGAAAAAGAAACTTGAAAAAAAAAGCTACTAAATATTGAGATTTTATTGTTCATTTTACTAAGTGACGTGACTTTTATATTTGTAATTGTCGTTTTCCAATTGTTTTTAGTTGATTTTGAGGTTTATTCTTGATTTTTATTTTAGAGAATTAGTATTGAAACTTATTGTTTTAATTTATAATTTTTGTCTGTTTTGGCTACAAAAAGGTGGACTTAGTGGGAGGATATCATGATGCCGGAGACCATGTGAAATTCGGACTTCCGATGGCTTTCACGGTGACGATGTTGTCATGGAGTGTAATAGAGTACGGTGACTCACTCGCTTCCACCGGCGAGTTATCTCACGCGCTCGAAGCGATCAAATGGGGCACCGATTACTTCATCAAGGCCCATACAAGCCCAAATGTCTTATGGGCCGAAGTAGGCGACGGTGACACTGATCACTACTGTTGGCAACGGCCGGAGGATATGACGACTTCACGGCGAGCTTTTAAGATCGACGAGAACAATCCGGGATCGGACCTTGCGGGAGAAACCGCCGCGGCTATGGCTGCGGCTTCAATAGTTTTCCGTTCAACAAATCCACATTACTCTCACCTTCTTTTGCACCATGCCCAACAAGTAAGCACATGCATACACTTTAATTGGTTTTAATGTTACAGTTGAAAGTTGAAACCACTCTTTGGTCGTCTAGGTGACCAAAACTATCTATAGGTATTTCAATTTTCGTTAGATCAATAAAAATTTATGTGAATACAAAAACAACAATTCTTTTTTACTTAGAGGCCCAATTAATTTGACTGATTAGTATATCAATTTAATTTTTAGCATCAAATTTTCAAGTGTACATTGGTTAGACACTAGATTCTCCCAGATGATTGACTAGTGCCTGGCAATTTGAATAAAATTAACATTTATTTAACTTTTTTTTTTGGGATGGAGATTTAAATAGCTATTATTATGGTTTGGTGTAGTTGTTTGAGTTTGGAGACAAGTACAGAGGAAAATACGACGAGAGCCTAAGAGTTGTGAAAAGTTATTATGCTTCCGTGAGTGGTTACATGGACGAGCTTTTATGGGGAGCCACGTGGCTTTATCGAGCCACCGACAAGGATCACTACCTGAGTTATGTGGTCGACATGGCTCACCAATTTGGTGGACTTTCCTGGGCCATGTCCGAGTTTAGCTGGGACGTCAAGTTCGCTGGTGTTCAACTCCTTGCTTCAATGGTTAGTAC